AAATAAGCGCGGGCGCATCGAGGGCGTTAGGCGCAGTTGCAACACTGCACTGGTTATACTATGCGTTGACGGAGCTTTTGATGATGATAATAATCACTAAATTCCAAACTAGGCACAGCTGTTACTACAATAATCGGATTATTCATACATATACTTATATCGCCATGATCGTAGAATAATGTCGGTTTTGAAAAAAATACGAAATTCAGTTGTTACCATATTTGGATACTACATTGTCTAAATATTATTAGGTACTACTAAAAAATTATATATATTTTAGATTTTAAATGATTCAGTGTTCGTTTAATAGGTGCTCAAAGTAAAATGTGATTTTTCTAGAAAATTGTATAATTATTACCTAGTTGTTATTTTTATTGCATTTTAAAACAAACCATATTTTACACTTGTATACCAATTTTCATAATTACCGATTTAGAATTAAAAAAGTTAGGTAAAAAAAAACAATTATTTGAAATGGCTGCAAAAAAATTATGTAGACATTTAAAGAAGGTTTCTTTCAGATGACTTCTTTAAATGTCCACATAATTTTTCGTGCATTTATTTGCCACATTTTGTAAAAAATCTAAAATCTAAATATTTTAAACCATCAGATTTAAAATACCCTAATAACATTTTCGTAAAATTTGTGGCTAATATGACAGGAATATCAAGCAGAACCGCCTCTACAAAATCTAATACGCTCGAGTATTTCAAAATGGCGATTTTTCGAACTTGCAGTTTTCATTTTTGATAATTCGCTACCAGCTTGTGTCACTTTAAAATCGTCAGACCTTTCAATGGGAGCATTTTTGGCATCCAAATAACATAACCCTAAAATATCTGATGAGCCCGAATACTTTATTGATTTCTTACCCTTACATTTTTGAAAACCAGTACAAGCTTTTCCCAGCACTGAAAGTGGAAACATTATAAAACTTTTATTCATTCTATTACCTAATCTTTTAATTGCAATAGTTCCCCATGACGCTCGAGTAAATCCCCATTTAGCATCATGGGCCCCCCTACTATAAAGGAAAACAGTGTCCACGTATTATTTGGTTACATTAAGTATACATTAACAAAACAAGGCCGCTTTTATTCAATCGCAACGTTTTAAAATATATACAATGTCATATACACAATACACATATTAACATATTCGTAGGTACGTTATAAGGTGTTCCCTTACAACCATGCTGAATTCTCCAAGGTTAAACCAGGTACATCATTAAATAAATGATTCGTCAATTTACATAAATTTTATATGTTCACGTATAGTCTGTATATAACATAAGCACGTGTTTCCGTGTGTAAATTATATAATTTTTAATATTATATTATGTGTGTGACAGTGTCTTTTGTATATTACTGGATTTTGCCGCCTTGTTTAGCATAGTGAATGCAAAAGTTTATAATAGTGAACGACAGATCGGCCAAACGAAAACGCGGGTAAATATTTTTTTTCTTAATGTATTGGATATGGATTAATACACTTTAAGTTTAAAAGTAGAGTAGTAGTTACAATCTTAATACACAAAAAAAAAGAATAAAGTGATCATTAAATGTTTCTGTTAAATAATTTCTAGGACACTTCCTATCAAAACTACACTTCATAGTTCGTAGCTGCCTTCATTAGCAACAACCTATTAATATTCTACAACACAGGGAAATATAATATAAATAGATGCGTGTACGTGTTCGCGCTGTCGAACGAGTGGCTGTGCAAGAGCCCACACTATACAACTACTGAAAACCCGTTTAAAAAAAACACGTTTTTTTACTTTATTCTTGAATTAAATTGATTAAATCAAACGTTTTTACATAATAGAATATCTCTTCATTTTATAAGACACTGTGGCGCATAGTGGTTAAAAAAAAAATACATAAAAAACCATCTTTGAAGCGTGTTGTATATCGTGACAAAAGAACTCAATTGGTGCAGCACTTTTTGAGTTTTTGAAGCGTACACAAACCAACATAACATTTATATTATATACAGATAATTGAATTTTTACTAAATAATAATAATATATCACAAGCGTATATGTACAAATATATAATATCACATAGGCATAGATATGGATATAAATTTAGTAAGAAAAGTGATTAGTTATAGAAGACACAACTAAACAAGTAGTTTCTATCATATTAATACAGAATACCATAGTGTAGGTATCAACAAGGAAATTGCACTATAATTTACAGAAAATAAATGCATGTGTCATCTCGGTACTCAATTCGAGGTCTACATAGGCGTTATTATACGACTATTATTAAATTGTGCGTAAATGTATATACTTATGCATATAATAGGCAAAACAAATTCTATTGTAACAAAAATAGGTAACAAAATTGATCGAAGAACGAGGAAGTCGTTGAAATAATTCCGTGGGCGGGGTTTTGTAGGAGCGAAACGGTCGTGCAGCGCTGTGCCTCAAAGTAAGGCCGGCTGCATCGATACGATTGATCGCTGATATATGTATACAATATGTAATATCGGCATATGTTATAAGGAAAATTCTTCTTAAATTTAGAATATTTAGGTCACAATACTTTTGAACCAAAATAAACGTATGTGTAGGGTTTATTTTGTTCTACCTCTATCTTCACTTATTAGTTTTTACGTGTCATAACATTAGGACAGTTAGTGAATGGTAAGTTATTAGAATACTTAAGTAATGGTTTATGTTTATTTTATATTTATGGTGACAAATTCTGACTCATTCGCTCATTGTGGCCGTATTTTGACGAGTACTTTTTATAATGTTATTATAAAACAACACGAAAAAAAATTTTAGTAAACATCTTAAAATTACCAACTGTTACTTAAACAATCTAACTAAGAATGAGATTCTTAAATCTAATGTAGCCTATACCAATTATAGCCTATTAGTTCTAAAAAATGTGAAATATTTATGACGTGAGCATGTAAGCTTTTAACTTATCCTAATAAGTGAAATACCGTTAAAATCCAGAAGCTCGAGCTCTAATGTTTGAGCTTAAATCCTTATATTGCTTGATTATAAAGAAAGCCAGGTGTAAACATTCTACTTGTATTTAAATATGTGTATTTCCATTTTGTCATACCAATAATTTTTCATTCCATATTTTCAACTTAGGTTAAAGTATTATATTATTAACATTCTGTGTAGTAGCACCGGTCTTCTCGATGCGTTGAATATTAAGATAAGCACACAAGGCTTTGTTGTCTTCTTTTACGTACTACCACAAATGTAATCCAACAAAAATGTGAAATAAAGTTTACCTGTTAAACTGTGTATTTGTATCTCAAAATTCTAACAAACGAATATCCATTAAATTAAATATTAATTTTAAATAACGTTAACATTACGGTCGAAGGTCGTATATAATGTTAACAGGTTTTGTAAACACTTAAAAACGTCATTTTTATGAATATGTATGGATTTGCTTTGTATTAACTAATATTTTGTAGATTCAAAATTTAGTACACAATGTTTGTACGTCATTATAATAATAATATACCACATTCACATAACGCCATCTAGTCCCAAACTATGCAGAGCTTGTACTATGGGTACTAGACAACTGATACAAATACATAAATACTTTTTTTGTAGATACATACTTCTTATACCTAGAAACACCCAGACCAAATCAAACATTAGAAGTACATAGTACATTAAATTACGGGCTGTTAAACGAGGAGAGAATAGAGTTTATCCCTGATACATATGTAGATATGACCTATTTTTGAAATAATAAAAAAGATTTTAATAATAATACATCTAAATAAACTACTTTTTAGGCCAATATTTACAGAAACCTATTAACACAAATACGTGCCTATACGTATAATGTAAAATAAAACATTTAAATAAGTATATTGTTCAGTCACAGATCACCCCTAATCCTAATTAGGGGTAATCTGTGCGTTTAGTGTCCTGAACTTATAATATTTGCAGCGATGAACAACATTTTGCAAACTTTACGAGTAGTTTAAACACAAATATATTAGAATAAAGATTTAGATAAGTTTCGAAACAAATCTGCCTAAAAGGCAAATTAGGCGTTTTGATTGTCAACATAAATGTTCTAAAAACTAGTATCGTTCCGCCTAATCTTACAGCGTGCGGTCGGCCTTCGGCGGCGCATACGACCGCGGGTCCAAGGCTAACCGTATTTTGTTCCGCGGTTCGTGAGTAATGACGTAATAGATGTAAGTACATTGGCTCTATCTATAGTGCGACTGGCAGATACAACGCGTGGCCTATATCGACACATAGTAGAACACTTTGTTGATAAAGGGCATTATATAACTACATACATACAAGTATAATACATTTATAAAATAGTTCAAATTCCTTGACATTATAAATTAATAAGAAGATTCTTAACCTATAGATACAGTAGGTTTCTGTGTTGTATGAAATATCTATGAAGAGATACCCTTGAGATCAGCCATTAATCTAAAAATATAGTAATTTACTCAACTCTCGGCAATGTAATAAACTCTAGAAAACTGTGAAGAAAAGTGTTGAAAAGTAACAATAGCTTATTAGAAATGTACACTAAAAATCTGTCTGTGTAAAAATTTTAGTAATGATAATATAGGTAGTAGCGCCATCTATGATAATCATAGCGAACTAGCTAGGTATTTACGTTTAATTATTTATTTGAGGACGCTGACTAATAATTGCGAGACAAAAAAGAATAAAAAGGAAAGGAAAAAACATGGGATTGTTCTTTTCTAGTTTGTTCTAGTTACGAGGTCAAAAGTTGATCGGAACTGAATATTGATCCAACTTTTATTACGAGAATTGGCCTTCTGAGTTAAATAGACACTTCTCTAACTTACGTTTCAACGTTTGGGTAAGATTCTAATAAAAGCGAATTAATAAGTACCTATTTGTTGAGCCTGAAATAGTCTGAAATAGCCTGAAATAGTTGAGCATGATACTTTACGTACTTTTATATATTAAAAACAAAATGATCCATTGGTCAGATTCTACAAATGAAAAATGAATGAACGAAATAAATTCTCCATCCAAAACACGCGTAACTCAAGTCGTTCCCCTCTCGTACGCTTCGTAGAATTGCTCCGGGACCATTTACCTTGACTTTTGTTTATTGTTTATTGCATCGCGTGGGCCGTATTCGTATCTTTAATATATTCAAACATATAAAAATAGACAATAGGGTCAACAGGATTAGCCAAGCTCTACAATAAAACGGACTTTTACTATGGTGGTTTCCAGAACCATTGGATTTGGTATTCAATCAATTAATGATTGCACAAGAGACAAATTTAAACAATTATTTACGATATCCAGTATTATCATATATCAAATGAACTCTATTACGTAGTATAAGCATTATATATTTAACAAACAGTTTTTTTTTCATAGGCACCTCTTCTGAATTTTTCCTTTCAGTATTCATATTTGATTTGAGACTTCGATTTTAACAGACATTTCTTGTAAACTTTATGTCGTTGCTTATTGGTTGTTTTTCTCGTTTCAGGTCGCCAATTCAAAGCTCACAAGGTGATACTGGCCGCGTGCAGTAAACATTTCCAAGAACTGTTTGACACGGCACCACCCAGTCATGCGGGTGCTTGCTACGTTATTCTGGAAGCCACCACGGCTGACAATATGCAGGCACTTCTTGAATTCATGTATAAAGGAGAGGTTCACGTCAGCCAGGATGCGCTCTCCAGCTTTCTCAAGAGCGGAGAAAATTTGCAGGTGTGTAATTGATGTCAGTAATTTTTTATAAGTATATGTATCTCCGAGAAAGAGAGTTAAAACTAAATAAAACATTGTAGTCAATTCATATGCGAGTGGCTTTAGACTTTGTCATCACCAGGTGGCAAATCTTTACTGACTTTTCCTATATCTATGGAAACCTTCGTACGTACTACAGTCTTGTGTAACAATAGTATGATTTACTTTTACTATAATCTTATGTTATTCATGACCATTTTCATTTTTTTTCATGCGAACTGCTATGTAAAAACATTAAGTTCAATTTTTAACACTTATCACACCATAGTAATTACTGTAATACAAAAAAAAAACGAATGAGTATGACATTAAACATATTTTATGTTCTCTTACATACTTACAAAAAAAACAAAAATAAATTGTAGGATTATGACGAAAACATCTGTATTTTTATTTTACCATTCACGCCAATATCACAATGTATTCAGGTGTTCACACAATATTATATTTTGAATCTTAATATACATCGACATAATTTGTACAATTACAGGTCAAAGGCCTGTCGATGGAAATGTCGCAAGATGCATGGGTGAAGCAGCAAACCCAGCAGAGTTCCGGAGACCGTCACCAGACTCGTATAAAGACTAGTCCGGTATCAGGATCAGGTAACTGCGAGGTTCAGGAGTCGGTGCCACCGCAGCCACATACAGCGTCCTTTACTCCGATCATGCCACAGTACGGGATGCCAATGCATGGCAGCGGCAGCATGGGGCGGTATGCTCCACCCGCTCACTTGCCAATTCATGCTGGGTCGCACCGCAGACCAGCGCCACCGAAACCATCGCCATCTCCAAGTCCACATGCTAGGAATTATAGGTATGATTATTAAATTCGAAAGAAAAACCATAATTTTTATAATTCATCTACATCACTTATAGTGCGCTAACCTAGCTAAGACAAAAACGATGTATTCCTTCATGCGCTCACATTTGACAACAAAAATGCTACTAATGATTAATTTCTACGATATCCAAAAGAAAAATGTTTTCCGAAAGGTAGAAAAATAGAGCCACTGTCGAAAAATTTATAAATTATTTGAAAACATATGTTACGTGTATACAAAAAAAAACTTGAGGAGCTTCTGCTTTTGTTAGTCGATTAATAACTTGTAACAATTATATAAAAAAAACACTTAGTTCATCGTCTTCAATTTTTGCGTTTAAAGTAAATAACTTCACGATAAAATGTAAGAAAAATATAGTTTATTCCGTGCTATATAGAATTAATTAACCTTGAAAATTAAAAAAAGCGATAAATAACATAGTATAAACTACACAAGGAAGTCATTGAGGACTATAAAACCTGAGAATATGACAGACCCCAACCGAGACTCACTAATGCAGTGGATCCATAAGTCTTGTAGCTTATCATAGTGGAACCAAAATTATTCTTAACACATATTCTATGATTTCAGACAAAGCTCATCCTCATCCCACTGCGGCAGCGTTGCTGATGAACCTGACACCCGTTCTTCACCAGGTGTCGGTACCGGTGGCGGCGGTCGTTATGAGGAAAATCCACCGGACTGCACATCTACCCTCGGCAACCCGACCAAGAATAACGGATATGAACGCAGCGCGTCTGCTAACGATGAAATGATGGAACGCCTTTCTAATGACCAAGGAGCTGAAGGTGAGGAAATGATAATACGTACTGTCTTATAGACGCATGTTTGTGATTGTTACTGTAGATAGAAAACAATGTATTGTGTTAACGCTTGTACTAAATTTCACTACGTACTAAAAACTTTTTAAGTCGTTTTTTTTTAATTTAACCTCCATTTTTTTTTGTTTGTATAACAATTTGTATGGGCTTAAGATACCTGAAAAATATTTATATTAGAATTTATTATTATTATTTTCATTATGCACGTTTGTTTTGTTAAATTAAAAGTATATTAAAGTAATGGATGTACGTGTTTCGTCATAATTGTGTTGAATTTTATATTAAGAATATTTTTTGTAAGTTACATATCTCATCAAAGTCTCATGAAATTGATAGTTCCGTACATACTTGTTGCCAGAGCTATTTGCGGAATATTAATTCATAGATCATACCTGGCTCATTTAAGAAATATTATTATAAATATTATCTATTTAACTACTATCAAAATAACGCCCCAAGTTCAAATACATCTTCGATGATCAAATTACTTAAGAACAGTTTTCTAATTTGTTCTAACATAATCATAGTATTATTATTGTATTATAATATATTCGCAATCATTACTTCCCTAATAATAAATTGAACACAGTGATTCACGTATTTCCAGATTTACGGATAAAAAATGAGAACGACTACCAGCCACCGGTGTACAACAATTCACCGCCGCCAGCGACGTCCCTCCCGAATGCTAACTATCATGACAAGACGATGGAGACGTCGCCCGTGCCACCGAAACCCAGCCCTGACATCTGGCCTGCCAAGCTCATCACTAGCAAGTCTGGTGGTATCGCTACTGCTGACGGTAAGGAAATACAATCTATCTACTTCATATTAATCTTTTTTGTAAATACTCGTAGTAAAGTAGAAATAAAGTCAACAAATCCAATCAAATGTAGCTTTTGATAGTTTTTTTTTCTAACATTATGATAAATGTTTCACATCACATATCACATCCACAGCCTTTACTAGTCCACTGCTGGACATAGGCCTCTCCGTAGAAAGGAGGTTTTGGCCTACTATACTACGCTGGCCAGACGGGTTGGTATAGAGTTTGTTTCAAGTTTTCCTTCTCTCTGCAGTGCTGTTGTCCTGCGTAGTTTGCTTCCTTAGTCGCCTCTTACGACACCCACGGGATGAATAGGGGTGGTGAAACTCTGTATTCTTAATCCGTCACCACACGGACATGTTTATGTTAAATGTTTGTGTTGTTAAATCTACACTTAAGGGAGTATATGGCCAACCCCAAACAAACTTGTGAAAAAGAGAAGAATGTGATGATATGCGTGATTTACACTATGGTTTACTTATGACGCAGTTTAACATGTAACTGTATTTTTTAGTCTGACTAATAAACATGATTTGCAGGTAAAAAGCTAAAATGTCCATACTGCGAGAGACTTTACGGATATGAGACGAACTTGCGCGCACACATTCGACAGCGGCATCAAGGAATTCGCGTGCCGTGCCCTCACTGCTCCCGCACGTTCACACGCAACAACACAGTACGTCGCCACATTGCGCGTGAACATCGCCACCAGGTCACGCCACAACTCCCCCAAGGCACTCTTCATAACCACACGCAGTAAAAAACCCACTTCTCACACATTGCTCTAGATGTTTTCAACCAAACTACCTCTGTTCGTTGGATCGGCCCAGCGACCGGCTCATCTACCTCTGAACGTATCACGAAGATGGCTATCGATTGGATCAATGAGACGGACTAAGTAATATCTATTACGGTCGCTTGGGCTGACTCCTTGTGTATAACACGTACAATAATATACCTCGTCGATGCATATTATGTAATCAATATCTACCTCAGAATTTGATCTTAAGATTTTTAAGGTTTTTGAAAATTGTGCGATAATTGTTACTTAATTTAATAATCATGTGTGACTATGAATGGTTGCTCAGTACTCGTCTCTGCCTGGTACCGTGTTTTAAAAATATTGTACCCATTATTGCACCCTCACTGCGTTAAAGTACCTTAATTATTTTTGCAAACTTTAGTAATATGTCCAGTTGACTGTGAGATGAAGTTACCTTTTATAGACGATTTATTTTGTGCTCTCGGTCGAGTTATGACATAGCTTATATTATAATACCTGAGCTAGGGAATCTTAGAAATGATGTTGAGACTGATGGTCATAGGCTAAGTGTATGTAAATAATAGGAGAATGTTGTAAATTGCCTTGGCCTAGGTTGAAACACATATTTTGGCAAACTGTGGCAAAACTACCTCTGTAATTGTACAAATATATTATTTTTTATTTTCTTATTGATTACACTAACAATGACAATAGACTATATATTACAGTTTAGTTACGCATTCAACATATCTGTGATACAATACAAACAGGCTGTTTTTATTTTTATATTTTACCACAATTGCCACACTGTCGATAATAATACAAAGAGAAATGTGCGAAAATATACGAAAAAGTAAAGTTTCAGCAGGTTTTTACTGTACAGTGAATGAGGATCAGTTTAAGTTTTGTACAAAGTACAATATTTTGCCCTAGATACATAAGTAGTTAGGTAAAAATCATGTTATTAAATGCATGTAAGGTTCGAAGCATGAATGTGTTTACAAATCCATCATTGTCGTTCGTAACAGGCTCGCCTGAACGGATGTTACTATTGAGACCAAATAATTATATGTTTCAGAGGGATGGTGTCGATTTTAACATTCCGTTATATAAACTTTTTATTTTCGTCGTAGTGCATTTATATGAAGGCCACTTACTACTTTTATATTCCTAGTCAATTCAAGTGCAACCAGTTGAGATTTTTTTTTGAAGAAAATAATTATATAAATATAAATGTAGAGCTGTCTGTCGGTGCCATTGTATTATATTTTGTTGAGTTGGCATCGACAGCGCTCAATCGTAATACTTCATATATGTATACGTTCAGCTGCAATAAATGGTTTTAGTTACATAAAGCAGATGGTACAGTGCCAAATATCCTCAATTTTAAGTTCATATCGTATTATTTACTATATTATTTTTGTTAAGTGTGAATGTAGCGACTGTGTGTTATATTCCTGATATTTAGGAATAAGTTGCATTCATATTTATTATTATATTTATATTTTAGGATACACGTCTTATTGCATATATTTATGATGACTATAATTTACTAAGGCTCAGTGACTTTTAAATATTTAGTTTCTGTTATTTTACCATTTGTAAGACAACGTTTTAGTTCTCTTTGAATGGTTACTTCGTTTTTTTTTTAAATTATGAAATGCAAAAATATGTTGAGTTCTATTCAAATATTAGTATCACGAAAGAGGTTTCATAATATTATATCAAAATACGTAAACTTTGTGTGTTTTCTCAAAATTTTGTAAGTTGATCTTCAGAACTTTTCCAAGTGAAAAAATATCCTTCACGAAATGAAATCGCACCGGAACTGCTACGATATAATATATGGATAGAATAAAATTTATTAGTAGTATCAATAGACCGAATAGAAGCTAATTAACAGTGAACTATCTGAATATATATTCAGATTCGAATCGACAGGCTATTTTAAACTCTATACTTAAATTGATATTTTTACTAAAATCTCTTTTACCGAACTAGTAGGGAATTTTCATAAACAATGAGTAAACATAAAGGTAAATCTGTATTGATTTCATATAAATCATCAAGAGATGGATCATGGAAGGGTAATTAAAAGTGGTAAGAGTTCACAGGCGTTGCTTTTTAATAAATCTTAAATTTTCAAATATGGGAGTTGAGAAAAGTAAGCAAATTATTTGATGCGAATGACAGACGGAGCGACAAATATTTTTCCAGAAGGGCATTAGGTACGAAAGACTATTTATTCACTGAGTTTTTGAACAAAATGAACACATATTTTAATAAAATAATTTCTTGACAAAATGAAATATTTTTCGAAATTATCGCACACACAATAGTTTATTTAGTCTGTGACCTCTCGTGGAGTTGTAGGGTGGTATATCGTAATCGGATTAGTTTAGATTGTATACGCGTGATGCTGTTCCGCAGTGTCTCCGTCGAAGCATGCTTGTTCTAAGACAATGATCTAAGTAATTACTCTATTGCGTTAAACATATTTGAACGCAGTGCCTTCAGTAATATCTAGATGAAAACGGTCTCCGAGAGCATTTCGAGGAACCCTATTCTACTACATTTTATGTTACGTTGTCCGATTATTTTGTAATCGTTGTATAGAAAATCTTTCAATATCGGAATTTTTTTTAGTAAGTGTATTATTGTTAAGAAAATGTTTTCGCTATTTCAATTGCAATTGTTAACATTACGTTTTATTATTATTGATGAGGAAAAATATTGTTCTATTTTTATCTTTTCGTTTTTTTCCTCTTATGAATTCAAAATTCATAGTTGTGATTTCTTTTGACATTTAATGTTTTTTGTGATACGTAAAAAAGAATTGCATTAATGCATCACGTTTTTTAGCTTTTTTTTTGTTTAAGAATGATGAAGGATTTGAGTAAGTCTATGGACGGTTGCTTATATTAGCAGTGCACTTGGGGCTCGTTACATTTGAAATCAATATTTCGGTTTGCATCTTTCTAATGGTACAAAGATTACAATAATAAGATTACGTCAATTTAAATTCTGTGAAATTGCCTGAATGTTCAAAAAAAATTTTTTTGTAATTACTTATGAATTTAAGTTCAATTGATGATTGTACAAAATTCGGAATGCATACGGGATATGGATAACACGTCTAAATTAAGTTGTCGCATTGTTAAAGCTAATTAGTGGGCAAGTTATTAGTGGTCCCTAATAGTTGTAATGTTATAATTGATGTGATAGGAAAATTCACATTTAGTCGGTGTATTGCAATCCCTCTTCATAGGACTTGGCCGATCTCCCCAATATTTGTGGCTGTTATTCTCGTAAGAAGGAATGGTCTTGCAACGGTGTGTGTCGTGAAGATCTCATCAAGTGATTACTGGTAGTTGGTAATGTTTGTGAGATTTATACGACATTAGTAATAAGAACGGATCCTACAATTCGCCATACAATAGCTTCTTGCGAGTCAAAATATTTGTTTTTAAGTCATAACAATTGGGTGTAATATTTTATTATCTCGCAGGGGCACTGTTGTTGGATCAAATTTGCATTTAAGTTAAGCACATTAATTGGTTCCGATTTGTGTTTTGTTTCTAAGGTTTTAAGTAATAAGGTTTCGTTTTAGTTTTTTTTTTCTCTTTTGTGTACATAAATCGCGAGATGTCGTGATGGTAAAGCCAAAGATTGTTACGGGTATGGTGACCCTCTGCCGTCACATGGACTATGTGGCGATCTTACATTCAGGCTTTTTCGTTTAGAGAGGGAACTATACTGAAAAAGTAACAGTTGCTGTGTAAAAATCAAGTGTTTTGAATGTAACTTCCTACATAGTCTTATTTAGTATAATGTACGTTTATCTACCTCGAGGATTGTAACTTAGTTCGTAAGTAAGCTTTTAAGTAGATTTTTTATATGAATGAAAGAATATAAAATCTTTAGTGTGTAAGAGTAACGAGAAAAATGAAAAAAAAATAATTAAATAAATTTAAAGTACAAATATGCTACCTCAGGATTCAATTTAGTCATTTTTAAAATTTTATATTAATCGTCATACAGATGTATTTTGTGATGTCTAATAAATATTATTAAATACGTAACAAATTTTTCTAAGTACTTGTTTGGTGATGAGTGCTAGAAATTGCATTTTAAAATTTTATCGAGAATAGTCTATAAAGTGTAAATACGAAAGATAAATTCAGTGAAGTAAAGTGACATGAATACATAGCTAGTGAGCACATTTATTTGAATCTCTGCAAGGTAGTCAGTGCTTTCAACTCAGTGTGTTATGCTCAAAAGAGGATTATACATCGATGTCTGTGTTTAGCGGCTCTGGGTTGGCGGTCTAATTTAGTTTTAAGTGTTAAATAGGTTAGTTGTAATAATCTCATTGATGTACCTCACTTGTAAGCACAACACTATCGGGGGATCGGCCATTAGTCACGTCAGCGTAATCTAATTGTACCTTCCTGCACTCTCCGGAGTATAAATTTTTATTCATAATTTTTATTATTATTAATTTTTCCCAGTTACTTTTTTGTGTTTCATAGATGTTACTATGTTTTAAGGAGATAAAAGAAAAATGGAGAAATTATTGTTTGTTAGGTTTCTGCAAATTAAAAAAAAATGTAACAAAATCATTTTCTTTTGTTTTTATTTTATTTTCCTTTTACTTTTGCTTTTAGTTTCCTTATAATTTTTCTTCGACAAGTTACACCCGTCCATCGTGTTTAATGTTTATTGTAATAAATTTAAGTACATTGTTTAAGGAATTGACGTTTAAGTACCTAATATTCATAAAATAGTTGCACTTAACTGGACAGGAAATATTTAAGTAATCATTGGATGTTTTTATATTTTAAGAGTGCACTTAAATTGAGTCAGTCATACGAATTTGATAATGAATAAAATTTAATGTTCTCTCGCATTTAATGTTATGTAAGAAATAAGATTATGCTCACTCCCTCACTAGATAAAATTCACGAATACTCGGACTGACCTGAATTGGTAAAAGA